TAATCAAATTAGAATTAAGCTTGATTAAACCTTTTTGATAGTTCAGGTATGAAGCTTGTAAAATCAAAATAGTTAAAGTGTATTTTGATCTAACTCTTTTTCTTAGAGAGCCGAGAGTTCATCAAAAACATCCTCTTTACCCCCACAAATATATCATTTATCATTATGACTACACTTTGGTAGCAATATTAATTTAGGGATAAGGGTCTGAAAAATACTCCAACTTTGGTCGAATTTGTTGTTGCGATACAAAACTTTCATGAAGACCTATTACCTCCCTAGAGTGTTTAATACCGTATTTTAAACACATATATTTGCCCACGCGGACATAAAAAATAATGCAAAATTATAAATAGTAATGTGTCTACGTGGGCACGTATATACCTTTAAAATACACTATTAAATAGTTCAGGGGGTAAAAAATACGATATTAATAGTCTAGGGAGGTAATTGGTCCTCATGAAAGTTTAGTATCGCAACAACAAATCTGACCAAAGTTGAGATATTTTTCAGATCCTTATCCCATTAATTTAACACTTCTACTTGAATAATTATCACTTCCATTATAAATATGAGCTGGTGAACAATATTCTATTTGGAATAAGTATTGTTATATTTGCAATAAGAAATTAACAGTTTAAGATGTTTAATCTTAAGAAGCCACTAATTAATTAGGAATTATTTGCAAATTATAAGAGAGGGATAGTAAATTACCATTTAATTAAGATTCAAAATTAGAGAAGAGCCACTCAATATGTTACTTCATTTAACAAATTGATCAAAATGACTTAATTAGTGCATAAAAATAGATTAGTAGGAATTAAGTGGGGTTAGTGCATATGCTTGTTTTAAATGTACAGCTAATTATCTAATCAAATCAGAATTAAGCTTGATTAAATTATTTTTATAGTTCAGATATGAAATTCGAAAAATGGTAATAATTTACATGTATTTTTTTCCCATTAAATAACTTTTGTTTTTGAAGCTGAGAGTTGATCGAAAACATCCTCTTTACTCTCACAAAAATAAAAATAAGATTTATATATATCTATTCATACATACTCTCTAAATATCACTCGTAGGATTACATCAATAAATTAATGTTGTTTTTATATTAGTTCACACATTCGTGTTCATTTGGAATTCCCCCCTTTTTGTTGACATATATTTGAGTTGTAATAAATTGGATTTATAGTTTAAAAAAAAATCAAATCTTCTCACATGGAGAAAGAAGCCAATAAATAAAACTAACTTCCATAGAAAGCTTGATTTGATTCTTTACCTTTTTTGTTTTTTTTTTGGTGCCTTTCGATTTTTTATTTTTTTATCCGATGTCTAATATCCATATTGAATAGGGATGTAATTATAGCATTCGGTATAGATTTGGACAAACACAAAAACTTTTGCCTATACTTTATATTTATATTTAAAATATGAATAAATATTTAACACCAAACACAATAACTAAGAGGAGCGCCTACGACTATGAGATTAGAGACTAATTTAGAACGTAATTCATAAACTTTAAATTCTGGTTCATTTTATGGTATTGTGCCCAACTAACTATATATTCGCGCTGAGAAGTCTCACAATAAGATAAAGCAACTTCATAATCAGGACACAAATACGAAATCTCTAATTAAAAATAAAGAAGTACGTATCATTATACCACAAACTTAATTTTACATAGTGATACTGTTTTGAAGTGAAATAACGAGATAATAGATATACGCACATAGTCGTCACTGCCTAAGGCCCTTGAGCATAGGTGTGTGACCCAAGTTTGGGTCTAGGCTACATCATTTTCTATTATAGATGACAACTTAAAAATGGCTTAAAAAGTATATGTGACAATTATAAAAAGAGATGCCTAAATCGCCGGTTCACGAAATACACAAGCTTTAAATAGTTATATTATTTAATTTATATTTATATATGGGTCTAGATTACGTCATTTTCGATTTTAGCTGACAACTAAAAAGAATTTAAAAAATATAGGTGAAAAGTTATAAATATCCAACCTAACGTATGTAAAGTGGTGTTTAAATCGCCCGTTCATGAAACACGCAAGCTTTAAATAGTTGTATTATTTAATTTATATGTGTATGTTAGTATTGCTTATTTATCTTCAAATCTTTAATCTGCCTCGGACTATAAATACATTGTTAACAGGGTAAGTGACTTAAAGCCCTAAAAAGATCAAAACAAAAAATGAAATGACAAGGAAAGATCCACGAACAAAAAATAAACAAAAACATGAGTGACAAATTAAAGCACATTAGTATTTATAATTAGTTGGATAATACTATCATTAAGCATTATGAGCAGTGCTGTTGAATGTGTGATTATAATTAGGAAAATATTATTAGTGCCACAGCTGTAATAATCAACTAGCTTAATTAAATTCTTATGATATTAATACGTGCTGTCTATGAGAAACTTCTTTTGCTTATGTTATGAGTTTTCATCACAGTAAAAAGGACGAATGAAATCTCTTCACTTTTAATCAAAATTTCAAAAATATGAAATTTCAGTGGAATGTTCATCGGAAAAACTTTCGACGAGCCAATTATTGATGATTTTGCTTAGAGATTTTCGTCATTTTTTCAGTAGTAACTTTAAAATGATAAAATTCATAAACAATCACCTTGATCTCTTGAACTCGCATTATTGCGAGTTTTTAAATTCTAATAGATGAAATTTTAGGATATTATTACGGAATTTCACATGTGAAATTTGAAACTCCATGATAATGATTATTTTAAAAAAATAGTGTCGAAATATAGCTAGTGGATATTTTTTCAAGAGTTTCTAGATTGCAATTTATTCTTCAATAAATAAAATGACTTTTAGAAATGATAACGGCTATCAGTTAAGTAGCCATATGAGAAATCTTGTTGATTATAAATAATTTCGCTTTTATAAAGAGTTAGTTATATCTATAAATACTTTTAACTGGTCTAATATTTTATAAAATTTATATTATCAATATCTATAAATATTTTTAACTAGTCTAATATTTTAAAATATTTATATCATCAGTATATATATAAGTTAAAATCCAATGAGATTTTTTTATAGAATCCCTAGTTACTGCCTTTTCTTTTTGATTTATATCTCCTTCTTTCCACCAAAATAATTGTTATTTTAACAATTATCATGTCCATTAAACAAATTAATAAATACAAGGTGTAGTTTACTAAATTATCTTTCTTTAATAAATGTCTCTTGAAAATTCAAACATTATTAACAAAATGAAATATAAGAATATATATAGTTGAAGAAACATTCTAATCATATTTCTTGCTTCTTCTTTTTTTCGATATGTTGCTCTGTCATTGTCTGATTTTTGATTGTCTGATCACACTCAAAATTATGTATTTACTTATTGTATTGTTACCCTTGCTCGATAGTTTTTGGACAATTTTCTCTTTATTAAGATAGCATTTATTTTAAAACGGATAAACTATTGTATTTTACCCTTTACCCATAATGGTGGGTAAATCTACAGGAAATCAATAATAATAGTAGTAGAAAATTTTTGATAGAAATAATTAAATGGGACCATGCCTTAAAAAATAAAAAATAAAAAATAGAAGTAGCCATCACTATTTACAATTTCACATACACCTTTCATGGTTGTCTCTTTCTTAAATACTAGAAAATGATGATTTCCCTGGCGTAACAGACTCTCATTTGTCTGATTAAAAAAGTTAGTAGCGGAGTTAGAGTATTGGTTACGGATTTAACTGAATATAATAATATTGGTTCAAATTTTGTATTTATCATAAAAATTCATGACATATGTATATATTATATATTAACTTAAAATATAGTAATTTTAAAATATTAAAAAATTAAAAATATATAAGCTTCAAATCTTAACTCCGATTCTGTAATTAAGTTATAATGAGGGTTTTTTGGGATCTTAATTCTTAGTTTTCAACTTCTAAATATAATAACTAATTACACAACTCATAAGTTGGAATTTTCCTAAAACTCTCACCTTATTCTTGTATTGAGATAAGTTAACTTATCCTATTTTCTCTATTTTCTTTTCCATCATGTAACTATTTGTATATTTGATTATTTTCGTAACTCACTATTATATAGGCAGATTCAGAAATTTAAGTTTACGATTTTGGAATTTAAGAAAATGCAGCATAGTGTATTTTAAATAAATTATTTATATATATTCAGTATTTTTTTCAAAAACACATATAGGATTTTGGCCCCGTAGCTTCCTCTCTAGCTTCACCTATAACCTCATATGATTACATATTAATATTAGACGGATATATATATATATATAAATATATTAACTTCTATATATTAATCTTGTAAATAATTTTGAGCCAGAGGCGGACCAGTGTAAAATTGTCATGTATTCATACAAACTAGTAATTTTAGCTAAATTCCTCTATATATTGTGTTCATCCAAAAAATATTTTGTTTTACTAAATAAATACAAACGGAAATTTTTACACCTAGTAAATCAAACAATTTTTTTTCTAGCGCTTCTTACTATAGGTTTCTCTATTTTAAGACATGAATTCCAGACTTTTGATTAATAATAATCGTTGATGGTGAATTTTACATACAATTTACTATAGTCTATAGCTAGTAACTATAGGGTTGATTTAAAGTGCTTGATTTTACTAATATTCTTGATAATGATTGCATGTATGATGCTCTAGCACAATTATATTTTAAAAAATAAGGAAATTTTTTCAAAAAGCCAATCTTATTGCTAATGGTACAATTAAAGAAAAAAAACAACAATATAGTGAAAGAAGAAAAGATGAATTAAAGCACTTTCATTTGGACCCCATGTCATGTCTCCTCAGTGCCCCCATGATTAATTTGATTTATTTCCAATTTTTTTCTCCACTATACACACTTCTTCTTCTCTCATCTCTTCATTTATAACATTTTTATAGATCAAAAATATTTCAAAAAAAAAAAAGAGTTTCATTTCATCCTAGTGTTTATACCAAACTATGATGTCAAGTGACAAAATAAGAGAAGTAGGAGAAGGATCATCATCAAGTGGTGGTGCTATTAATACTATAGCACCCCTTCTTAACAACCACCATCGCCAGTCATCATCATTATTAGCACCAACACCAGCACCAGCATCAACACCACAATTAAGTCGATACGAGTCGCAGAAACGTCGCGATTGGAACACGTTCGGTCAGTACTTGAAAAATCAACGACCACCCGTATCGTTACCTCAGTGCAACTACAACCACGTGTTAGATTTTCTCCGATACCTCGATCAATTCGGAAAGACTAAGGTTCACTTACATGGTTGCCTATTTTTCGGGCAACCCGAACCGCCCGGTCCGTGCACGTGTCCATTAAGACAAGCATGGGGAAGCCTAGATGCCCTAATTGGTAGACTTAGGGCAGCCTATGAAGAAAATGGTGGTTTGCAAGAAACTAACCCTTTTGCAAGTGGTGCTATACGTGTCTATTTAAGAGAAGTGAGAGATTCACAAGCTAAAGCAAGAGGAATTCCATATAAGAAAAAAAAGAAGAAAAAGAGGCCAAATTTGCAAATTAAAGCTAGTAACAACAATGATGGGGCTACTTCTGCAAATTTTCAGCTACAATCTGCCACTTGATTGCGAATATCAATTTCATCGAGATCGTCGAAGAAAAAATAGTAAAATTTTGAGTTTTTAATTATAATTAATAAAAGTATTTGTTTTGTTATGTATTAATTAATTAATATAGTGCTATACATATAATTAAATACTTTTGAATTAAGGTGTTTTAATTTTCCTATGATGCTTGGAATATTGGAATATTGTTGTTGTAGATATTGCGGAATATTATATGGAGAAAATTTTCATTTAATCAGCTCGATCTGGGTATTTGTCTGAACTCTGAATGCTATAGATTAACTTTTGGCTATGCTTTTACTGTTTGTATTCGTACTGGAAATTATTTGGCTCGAATTGAGCTTTATCGGTAAACCCTAGCTAAAACTAGAGTTTGAAAACCCTAAAGTACATACCATGTTCTTAGTTTTAAGTGATGAAAAATTGGCTAATCACTTAAAAAACATTATTAATTATAAGAGAAAAAATGGATTCTTATTTTGGGCACTATCAATTTTTGGTTTATGTTAATCCTCTCTCTAGAAATGTATATCCTTGTGTATTTAATTTTACCATTAATTGGTGTCCATTAAGCATAATTTAGAAGATTAAATTAAGGTCACATAGCTATATAGTACAATTCTTCTGTATATAGAAAATAAAAGTAGATACTAGATAGAGTATATTATAGGTATGACGAAGTAATATTTTGGCGTAGCTGATAAAGTTATTGTCATGTGATCAAGAGGTCACGAGTTTGAATTCATATGAAAATAACCTCTAGCAAAAATGTAAAATCAGACTATGCATGCGTACAATAGATCCTTGTAATCCGACCCTTCTTTAGACACCACACATAATCAGAGCTTAATACACCGTGTTTTCTATTGTAAATATGTAATAACATAATATGAATTCCTTTGGAAGATGTTCAAGAACAAGAAACAATTAATCATTTCTATTTTTGTATAATATTCCAAGTTATAACAATGCTGTTTTCCTATACGTGTTTGTACAATATTACAAAATTCTTTTATATTATCGGTGTATAGATTTTAAATTGAAATCTATTTTTGCTGATGATGATCCTTCATAAATGTATACCATGTATTTTGCAAAGAAATACTTCAATGTAAAAATCATGCTTAGGTTCAAGATTCGAGTCAAAACGACCTTCCTCCTCCTTCCGCATCATAATATGATCGTTTCATGATCAATCTAAAAGTTTAATTAGTTAAAGAGGAAACAACATATTTGTTTATTTATATTTGTATCACATAATACCCGACCTCTATTTCTTCTCTTGGTTACCACTTGGTATCCTATATTGTCCCAATCAAATTTAAATTCGTATCAGAAAATTTTATATATTGCTCTCTGGCAAAGACGATTAAATTCGAACCCGAAATATTTGATTAAAAATGAAAGAACCCACTTGCCACGGAATATTATCTCATGTTCTAATAATAACTAGCTAACCAAGGATGGTATTTTTTTTCTTCACACCTTTATTGACATATGAAAGTTATAGACATTTGATGTGATTAGCATTAAGTTGAAACAATATTTGAAGTTATATAGGGCCTACTTCATAAATAAATTTCTTTATTAAGCAAATTTCATTTAGGGTGAGAACTATCACCATAAATCTCTAGCTATGAATAGAAAAAGAAAATTCAAACTCATTCTATACATGTATATACCATATAGTGTCCTTTTGTTTATTGAATATACATATTAATGTGGTTATTCTTGATTTGAAAGATAATATGGTTGTGTTTTACTTTTCCTTTTTTCTCTCTTTTTTGTTGAGAAAATCATTAATTTTCCATAAGAAATATAGTTGCAATTTATCTTGAAAGACCTAATACGAATTTAACTAAAAAGTATAATAACATGATAAAAGAAAAAGATTTATAAAAGGTGATTGTTTGCAACAATTTTAAAGTGACAAAATAAATTACAATCACAAAAAAATATGAAGAAACATAATTTTATTCATCAAGATTGCGGGTATAATTCTGTTCCTCCCTTGATTTTACTCTCCTAAGATTTATCCTTGATTCAGAGGGTCATTAGTGACGTATTTCTCGAACTAGGATGATTTAACTTTGACCTTTATATGAATATTCTATGACTTTTGTGGAATATTTGAGATGCCTTTTCAAGGGAATATAGTATCCTTTATATAGGCGTGAACTAGGGTTTAACCTCCAAGAATCCTAATTGGAATTGAACACATATTGTAGAGTCTCAACTAGAATTGAATACGTCTTGTAGAGTCCAACAAAATTTTAATGTCTACAAATGCCCCCTGCTTCAAGGCTTGTCGGAGTGTAGACTTGATGAAACTCAAAGACGAGGCTTGAAGTACTCATTCTTCCACTTTCGCAGCTTCATATTTTCATATTAGATTTAAGAGAGAAGAGATGAAGGGCAGATTTGGTCCCACTGGGCGTGCCAATTTGTTTGCAATAAATTTTAAAGTGACAAAATAAATTGCAATCACAAAAAAATATGAAGAAACATAATTTTATTCTTCAAGATTGCGGGTACAATTCTGTTCCTCCCTTGATTCTACTCTCCTTAGATTTATCCATGATTCGGAGGGCCATTAGTGATGTATTTCTCGAACTAGGATGATTTAGATTTGACCTCTATATGAATATTTTATGACTTTTGTGGAATATTCGAGATGCCTTTTCAAGGGAATATAATATCCTTTATATAGGCATGAACTAGGGTTTATGGTTTAGCCTCCAAGAATCCTAATTGAAATTGAACACATATTGTAGAGTCCCAACTAGAATTGAACACGTTTTGTAGAGTCCAACAAAATTTCAATGCCTACAGTGATACCTCATGCGTCTCAAAATACTTCTCATGTTTTGCTTCGGCAAATTTTTGGTGCTAAATTGAATTAGATTAGTTTAATAATTTAAAATTAAAACTACATTTTTAAAAACTATATGAAAAGTACTATATAAGTGATCCCATTTTATCTAATATCAATATGGTAAAAAAATATATCTCAAAATGTTGGTCAAAATTCATGTAGTTTGATTCTTTAAAAAGAACATATTACAAGTAACCACTCCTTATAACCTGCCACGTCCTTTTTGCTCTTTTGGTGATTAAAACTCACGATCTTAGAATTAAAGATGATTGGTACGTACTTGCTTCTTACCATCTGAGCAACCCCTCTAGTCAATGGAGAAGGTACTAAGTAGTTGGGAATATGCTTTACTCATGTTAGTACATGCATTAATTTTAGGTCTTTTGCTTTCTAGGATGTCTTAATCCTCCTATTAGAAAATTTAATTTTATGTAAATATACATAAAAGAACTATATTTCTTACTTTAATTTTGTATACTATTAGTAGAAGATGAATTTAAATAATAGAGAAATATAGGTTTAAAATATTCTCATGGAAGTAACCATGGTTAATTAATTAATTCTTAAACAAACAATATTAAGATTATGTACAAAATAATTTTGTTAGATAAAACTATAATAAATTGAATAGGAAAGAACAATAATACCAAATAAACATATTGAGAAAAAAAAAAGGAACTTTGCATTTTAAAATATCAATCAAACAGAAAAAAAAAGCAAGAGATACCATATCTAGAGAATATATTTTAAATTTTTTTTATAAGAGGCCCTAATGTTTTTTCCAACTTTACCAAATCTTTCAACTTTTCATTGATAGGGACATTGACCAAAATTGAAATTAGTCTCCATTTTACTAATTACCAATCCTATTTTAAGGTGAAATTTTCTTGGTTTAAGTCTTAAATTAAACTTTATTCTAAGTTAGAATTAAATAGAAGAAGAATTTGTGATTTTTTCCAAATTCTCATGAATGACTATTCTCTCTCCCTTTAAAAAAAAATAACTAAAATAATTAAATCTGGATTAATTATGATAAAAATTAAGGTTGTTTTTTAGTTGAGGATTTATCTTAAATAGTTTCTCGACCTTCGCAAAATAGAATAAAATTGTTTACACCCATTCTTCTCAAATCTCACTTATGAAATTAACTACATTGAGTAAAAAGTTGACTCTGTGATGCAACTTGGTGGTATATTAGACCATAAAAGTTAAATTTTTTTTCTTATATGTATATACTATTATATTAATTTCTTGGGTTCTTTTTTTCCCATCTACTCTCTTTATATTTTAAATATCTTAATGAAAAATTGATATAAGCTTAACTATGACCAAAGATTAACTACTATTTAGAAAAAAAACATAGGTCTTCACAAAATCACAAGATGATGCCTCATCACCTGTTCAATATAGGAAAATCAAAAAAGTTGGTGACCTGATAACAAAAATGGAACCTCATAGGTATATTATTATATCAAATTAATGAACATATGAAAAGGGAACATGCTATATTAACTAGTACTCTATTTTGATTTTTATGATGAATGTGTCTATATATAAATTTTCATTGTCATCATTTTTTAAACTTTTTGAAGAGATTTCCCAAACCTTAGTCACCCTTTTTGTCTTGTTTCTAATTGACATGGTACTATGTTTCTTTTGCCACCTTAAATTCAAATCAACCAAAAATAAACAACATACCTTTAACTTTTTCAAAAGGTTGTCCATGTTTACTCAGATTTTTTTTATATATATTAAAATATTAAAATATTATAGTGAAATATTATTAGAGAGATCTAACTATAGTATCAAATATTAAATGTAAATCACCATATTTTCTTATCTTTTTATCAATACATTTTTTTTCTCATCATGTTTTCTGTTTTAAGAATTCTCGTGAAATTCACAATAGTTATCTTTCGAATGCATATTGAGTCACAAATTACATAGCAAATAGAAATTGTACTAGACTGGTGCGATGATTTTACTGATGAGGGGAAGCACAAGATTTGAGGTTGTGTTTTTTTTTTCTCTTTTTATATTTGGTCAAACATATGTAAGAGATTTTGCTGAGTCATTTTTGCAATGGTGGATGTTGGAGTTTGGACCAGAATTTGTTGGGAGGGGTGGGGATGAGACTTTGGAGTATCATTTTTGTCTAAAAGAAAAAAATTAACATTGATGAGAGTGGGGTCATTTGAGGAGGCAGATTTATGAATTCGATCAAATTCAATAATCTTGCGCAAGAATATATCCTAGACAATGAAAGAAGTTTATTGAGTACATTTTAGGTGGTGTTGGGTCCCATTTCCTTATCCTAATAAAGCATCTAGAAAAAAATATAGTATAATAAAGTTTATTTTACTGGTCAGAGATCCTTTTCTTGAGCTAATTGTGAATCAGACACTCAGAAGAAGAAAAAGTAATATGCAGATTGAAGATGGCTAGCTTTAAAGTGACCGATAGAAAACAAGTTGTTTAATATATATAAATATTCTATTCCAAATCTAGTTGTTATCTTATTCACAATTTATGATTCTTTATTTTCATATTGGTCCAACTAATTTAGATTTGCGACTTACAATCTCACCAAAAGTAAAACACTTATAATTGAGATATGTTTGAACTTCCAACACCACTGTTGTTACAGTAGAAAGCTAATAAGCTTCCATGGAATCAGTAAGGTTACTTATAATAAGATAAAATGATAGAAGAACTAATAAATCCCGTGTTTACGTAAGGTCCAGGAAAGAGCCATACCCCAAGTGATTGATTCTACAACTTGAATCCGTGACCTATATGTCACACAAAGACAACTTCCATTCTGATAGAATAACTAATAATATAACAAATTTGCTTGATATTTCGAAGAAAGAAGATTAAATAAAGATGCTAGTTTATTCACAAGCATTAGTCTCCTCTACCAATTTAAAGGACCTAAGGTGAACCAAGCATCCTAGGCTCACTTCCAGCCTGCATTACAAAATTGTTGTCTTCAAGCTACAACTTTATCTGCCTCAGATACATGATCCTCAACCTTGTCAAAATCGAAGCTCTTAGCAACATCAAAGAAGTGAGCTACGGCTTCTTCAGGTGTACCCACGAGCACACCGTGGCCAAGATTGAGGATGTGACCACTAGTCCCTGCACTCTTGACAACCCTGTCAAAGAAAAATAGTCAGATCTTTTTCCCGAACTAGAAGAGATGTTGAATGCCCCGTGGGGAACCCTTTCATTTCTAAATGAATCCTAACAAACGAACTATCTAAAACCGACCCCCTCCATCCAATTTTTGTATTTTTCATGGTTTCATCAGATGAACTTTTACATGTCATGACCTCTAAAAATCATTAAACACAGACACAATTTGCGTTAAGATGGAGTGGTACATGAACAAGACAAAACAAATTTACATGTCATGCCTATTTTAACATCTTCCAACTACTACCTTATCATATCTACAATAAACTCAAACATGTAAGTAGAGAAGGGTAGAGGAGCGAAGCCAGTATTTAAGTTCGTAATTTGTTAGCAATGACTATAGCTAAAGGTTCAGTTATGCAACAACAAACCTTTTAATTTCATCTGTCAATGCAGAAAGAGGACAAAACAAGGTAGCGGGATCCACATTCCCCTGTATACCAATATCTGTTCCTAGTCGCCTCCTTCCATCTGCCATATCAACTGTCCAGTCAAGTCCAATTACATCAACTCCAGTTGTTTTCATCCGTTCAAGAAGTCCACCATTTCCGTTAATGTAGAGCACAAGAGGTGTTTGTGGGCACTTTCTTTTAATTATACCAACTATCTGCATTCAAAAATCTGAGAGGTGTTCAAAAAGGAAATAGAATGAGAGAAAGTTTACATAACGATTAATAAAGGAATGACATTTCGACACAACCAGCTATCAAATCACCCAAAGAATCCTCCTCTAATCCAAACATCATTCATGATATGTAACATTTATGACCGTAATGTATGAACCTTATTTCCCTGACTAATCCACTAACCACTATAAGGACTCATCAGTTATATATATATGCATCAGCTATCAGATGCAACGTTACTCTTCCTAAAATCACATAACTTTTAACTGATTACCAAGACATGCCTTGAAAGCATTATTGAACAACAGACTTTCTGGGATGCTTCAATGTTACCCAAAGTTGGAAATCCAGTACATTTTAGCAATTGACCACCCCATCTAACCTATGCCCCCAAAAGAATGTCCTATTTGGGCACAAGGATTTGCTAGTTTCCCTGACTAACCAAAAAAAATAATCTAGCTTACCTCATCAATATAAGGCTTTGACCAGCAGTCCCACATATGAGGTGGGAGTTGTCCACCCCATGAATCAAATATCTGGATGCAATGAGCTCCAGACTCCACTTGATACACAATATACTCAGCAATTGCTTTTGATAAATGAGATAACAGAGCTCTCAAAACATGAGGAGCGGTATGGCACATGTCCTTAATCTTCGTATACGTACGAGTTGTACCTCCTTCAACTATGTAGGTAGCAATTGTCCAAGGAGCTCCGACAAAACCCAAAATTGCAGCTTGCTCTCCAACCTGACATTTTGTGGGAGGGGAAAAATCCTTAGCTTTTAATACTTTGTCCCATTTAACTTTACATCAAGAGACATCATAGTAAGAATCCTTTCAGCAAAAATAGCAAGGAATCAACAAAGATACCTCCTTCCTCAAAATCCTAAGTGAGTCTCCCACAAATTGTAGTTTCTCCAAGTCAATAGAGTGCAATGATTTCAATCCCTCTTCAGAACGAATGGGAGACTGAATGACTGGGCCTCTTACATCTTCAATGTCAAATTGGACACCAAATGCCGGTAGCGGGGTAAGTATATCCGAAAAGATGATTACTCCATCTGGATGAAAAGCTTCCCAGGGCTGCAAAGAAATTTCCACAATGAGATCAGTTGTCTCTGATCTCTCTCTGAAGGATGGATGTTTCTCTGCAAGCTTTCTGTAAACAGCCATATACCTTCCCGCTTGACGCATCATCCATGCAGGCGGGCGACTCACCCGTTCTCTTCTTGCAGCCTTCACCAAAAGTGGATCTGAAAAACATACATTTGGAAGCACAAAGTTGAGTTCCCCGCAAAGAATCTGAAAGATGAACTGAAGTGACACTGAAAACCTGATAGCTTGACCTAACCCCCAATCCCCCTCTCAGGCGCAAAGGGCCGAAAGAGGTTATAGGCACGTAAACACCATACACTCTTACAACGAGAAAGATTTTGCATTATTAGGATATCTATAATGCAGTTTTAGGATCTGGCAAGACCAATAAACCAATAGCAACTAAGCAACATGGTTCCACTATGAACAGTTAACACCTTGAATCGTGACTAGAGCACCGTTTTAAGTTTATCAGTTTATCTCAGTATTTGCTCATTATGGAAGAGAGGGAGTAATTGAAATTCTCCAGACACATTCTTTAAGACTACAATGTAAACAAAACTAAATCTAATATTCTACCAGAGATACAATCATAAGCTACAATGCAGAGGGATAAAACAAATTATACCATTGCCTTCTTGAAAGGATCTGGAAATATATTAGCCATTCAGTAAGAAGGTACTAATATGAAATAATCATTACACATGTCATAGTGATGAAGATATAATTATAAGGGTACTCTAATGTTTACACCAAGTTCTAAGAGTGATAAAAGTATTTGAGAAAATGTAATGCTACACAACAATGATAACAACAACATACCCAGTGCAATCCACAAGTGGGGTCTGGGATGGTAAATCTTACACAATACAAGAAACAATACCCACACAAACCCTAGCTGTAAAATCATAAGACGAGATAAGTTCCATTCTGAATCCTCGCCAAAAAAGTTGCAGATTGCTCGTAACTACAATTTTAGGATATCTGAACAAAGTGATCAATCTTCTAAAACTTCTCTAGCTTCTTGCCTTTTCACAGACTAGGAACCATCCACCTGTGCTACTACAACTACTACTCTCTCTTTCTGCCTGTGATTTCTATGCTAGTAATGTGTACTTGTGTAGCAATGGATGCGCTAACGGTTGGACTAATGTAGTTAAGACTCGAGCTTGATCGAAGATGCTTGATTCTGCATAAAGCTAGCTCTTTCTTCCTTTCCATCATCAAATATGATACACAATTCCATCCACCTCAAAAGCCCATTTGCTAAGACATAAGATCCTGATTTACTCAATAGCAAACCCGAACCATAGTTTACTAGGACTGAGGATCTTAGCAAAATCTACACCGAAGGGTAAACAGATGTTACTCCCTCCATCTCATTTTACTCCTGAATTACTATAACATGTAGTCACAAAGCTATGGTTCTTCAACATCTTTTAAACATTATGTTTTACTATACTACCTCAATCTAGTTCCTAAATATTTAAACTTCACTCAAAAATTACGGAATCATACCTGAATGCACACAGAAAATTAGGTACTTCAACCCTCCTACACAACTCTGCCATTTACATTGAGACAGAGAGAGTACTCCTTACTATAACAACAACAATTACTACTACAACGCCTTAATCCCAAACAAGTCAGAGACGGCTATATGAATCTTCACTTCTTCATTTTAGCTCATTTCATATCATCATCATACGAAATAAACTAACAGTGATAAACTCAAGTTACTATAACCAAACAAAATATTTGAGCAATGTAAAAAAATGTAACTAAATATAAAGAACACAAATACATGAAGAAAACAAAAAGTCAACTACAGGGGCTATAGATTTATACCAGAGGAAGAAGAAGAAGCACAAGCCCGAAAAACTTTACTAGCATTGAGCTTTGCGGGTTTAGCAGAAACCCCTTTTGACCCATTTGAAAGAAACCCTAATTCCACAAACAAGCTCGACGATTTCCAGCTTAATCCAAGATTGCAATATCTACTACATCCAATACACAAAAAAAAACCCAGAAAATACATTAAGTCAAAAATTATGCACAGAGAAAAGAATTCACTAAAAAAGAGTTAATATACAGAAATGGGAAAGAGAAAAAGCGAAGAATTTTGTGTAGAATAAAGCCCAATTCTTGTTGTTAATGGAGAAAACCCCAGAAAAATGCATTAAGTAAAAAAATATGTAAATTATCAAAAAATTGAGTTATAATAGAGAAATGGGAATGTGAAAAAGGGAAGAAATGGGTATAGTAAAAAGCTCAAACCTTGTTGTTAATGGAGAAAAAACCATAGCCATTTGATTGAGGGAGAAAGTAGACTCCCTCTGCTCTCCTTATCTTTCTTGTTTTCCCCCTTATTGGATCACCCTTTATAAACTGGCTAACTGCCAAAACAAGATATTGCAAGATAATTACATAATATTTTTTTTAAACCCAAGATAATTTATAGTCGCTATAATTTTTGCCATAGCCTTTATCCTTCGGATGACAATTTGTGCGCACATGGTAAACCCCCACTATGTAATAGTTTGCAAATCATACATGAGATGTAAACTACACTAGATAAGCCATATGCCATAGCCGACTGGCTCGAATCAAAATGTTATATAAATAAATAAAAAAAGGTACTAGACTAGAAAGAACTACTATAAAATGATAGAATATAACATAAAATAAGATTATTAGATAATAAATCAAGATAAAATAAGGGAAAAAAAAGAAAATTGTAACAACTTATATGATTGTTATAACATATAAGAAATTGTTTAGATGGTTGTTACTTATTTCAATCATTACATAATATTATACCTCATAATTTAAAGATAAATTTATATAATAATAAAAAGTAGAGTGTAGTACTAGAAAGAACTACGATAAAACTGTAGAAGGTAAGATAAAATAAAATTATTAGATAATAAGTCAAGATAAAATGAGAAAAGAAGATGAGGTATTACATGATCATATCAGATCGATTGTTACATAAAATGATACTTTTTATCGTTAGATAGCAATGAACTCAATAATATAATATAATAAAATTTAAGTAACAAACAAAATAAATCGACTAACTGCCAAAAAAATGGAGAAAAAAAAAGAAATATATATATATATATATAAAGAAAATGTGTTTTATTTTTCGTAAAAATATTTTTCTTTAATAAAAACATCATTTAGTTTTCTTAAGAATTATCATGTAAAGAAATACCAATCACAGAAAATTATAAGTATTTGAAAATAGTTTTTTTGAAAAAACAAAATTTAAAGAAAGCAAAATTGGATAAAAAAAAATTCCTTGCATTATTCAAAACTGAGCATTTTGTGTTCCGTCAAACTTCTGATCTAATATTGCATTGTAAGGAGAAGGTCTCATTTGGCCCTTGATTCCTAATAAATTTCGATTCGAGCGTGATTTTAGATTATAGTTAAATTTGGTGGTCAATTTAGACATGTATTTTTCGAAGAATTTAGACAAGTGAAGTTCACTCATTTCAATTTGAAGCTTCGTTGATCGTAAAGGTGAATACTACTAATAACATGAATATATGAATGGATCAAAAGCGTAACACATGATAAAAGTGAGTAATTTTAAAATAGTATCAAGGCGAATTCGGACATTATAAAAATTGTTTAATTTCAAAAATAGAAATAATATCGTATAAGCTAAGACAAATAAGATATACATGTTTTATTGATCAAGATGAAAATTGGTAAAAAATAAAAAGGATGGAGATTTATTGTGTCACTACCTTTATGTATCTAAGAGATAGTTACATCCGAAAGAAAAGTTGTGGTGCAATAGTAAGTACTACTCAGTTCTTAATCAAAAGTTTCGAATTTGCATTTTTAGTCTAACGTACAAGAAAAAAACAACAGATAGTAACAGAACAAGATTGCAACAATAAAATAGTATAATAGTTGAAGTACAAGAAACAACAGACGGAAGTAATCCCATAATCACAGTATCAAGTAATGATCTTTCCATTTGGAACATAGGATTACAGATCAAATAAGATCATACTTGCTCCCACTGAATCAAGATTTATCAAGTTCATAAAACAATACCTCAGAATATAGCTTCAAGCTAACAACAACAAGAAGACAGACATACTCAGTATAGTCCCACAAATGGGGTCTGGGGAAGGTAGATTGTACACAAACATTATCCCTATCTTGGCAAGAATATAGCTTCGAGCTAAGGAGAAGATAAAGTTCCAAAATATAGCTTTTGTTGCTTCCTCAGCCAGAAACATTTCACGTTGAGCCAATAGGAAGAGAAACCTAGTATACTTTTCGCAATTACCAAACTTCAAATGCAATTATGTTGGCAATGCCCACGTCATTGAAAGCTGAACAAAGTTCTTGTCATGAACATATAGCGTTATGTAGAAAGAACGTCTACGAAGTTGCACTTTATACAAATCTCCAACCTCCTCCCCCTCCCAAAACCAATAGAGTGGCAGTAGAGGGGTGAAACAGGAGCACAGAGAAGCCACCAAGAAAGAATGGATCTAACAAGTTCTCGAGGATGGTAGGCCTGTAAACTTTGACAAAAATACAAAATTTCCTCGTGTTTGAAGAAGACGCACAACATAAGATAAACAGGCAAAGTCAAGTTTCAGAGACAATTCATTTAGCAAAACAGCATTTATTAACAAAGTTAACAAGTCCAAGAATACAAGAGACACTGCAGTGGTGCATTTGCATCATAATAAGAAGACCATGACACAGTTGCCTACTTCGACCACATAGAGTAGCTCCAGCAACAAATGAGTGAAAGACAGTGGAATTCGGAAAAGTCAAGATGAGATTGCAAAAGACTCTTCAACCAGGAAGAGACCGCCTTTGGCCAATCCTCAAAGGCCAATGAGACCAAGTACCATTGCTGCAGCTATTGCTTACCTTATCATAAAGTATTGTGTAATTTGAGCTGCTTATGTTCCTGGAGTAGCAGCACGAATCATCATTATATTTATATACTTGTTGGGTACTCCCAAGTCCTTTTACTACTAACTGGCCTTTTACAAGCATATAGCCCTGCGCTTTTTGCAAATTATTAACAGATCTGGTCGAGGATCCATACTTGGAAGCCTTTACCCTCTTGTCCTCTAATCCCAATGTCAAGTTTGATATCGAGGTATAGCTTTGGCTTCCTTGATCTACATTGTCAGAATACCACTTGAACAGATACTTTTTGAAGGACTCAAGCGAGAGAACAGAAGAAGATGGCGTCGTGGCATAAACAGTATCATTGAATTCGATTATCTGATCCACTATTTGCAAGTTCCCTTCATTTCCCATTACCATATAATTGCTATAAATTAAACTTTGAGACGACTTAGTAGTGATTGTTCCATAAGACGACTTCACCATTCCGGTCAATGTGATGGACCTACTAGCGTTTGTGATAAAAGATCCATCAAAACCTGTAAAATTGGTCAGCACCGATAAAGAAAGGGGCAATAAGCTGTATCTCAACAACTTCCCTTCCGTTTTCTTACTTTTCCCATCCAACCAAAGATGCAAATTTGCATCAACATACCACACGTTTAGAGCATCCGTGACTCTAAATGAAATCTTATGACTATTTCCATCTAAAATCTTTCCTAACAACGGGGTAATTTCAATGTCATAAGAAGGAAGATCGAACGATCCAATTCCACTAATTGGTCTCCAAAAGAGGGGATTAACACCCCCAGTATAGATCACAGTAAAAGGCCAAACTACACCAACTACCATTTCATCCAAACTAACCACCACCTCCCTGAAAGCTCCATTCCCCGCGATAGTAAGATTATTCGAACTTATATACTCATTAGGTGGATTCCCATACCAAAACTCGTCATTCTCATGAAATGAAACATAAACTTCCAATACAGCCCTATACACATTTGGGGGGATCTTGAAATCCTTCGACTGTACATCTGTTGAATTTTCAATCTCAAACCACAACCCATCATTCAAATGCATATTTCTTGAAATGGGAACAATCAAATCAGCCCCAGAATCAAATTCACCCAATTTCACTTCAGCAGGATAAAAATGAACAAAAATTTCCACATGGTACACACCAGTATATGTACTATCAACAATATTCCCTAAATAAACAGCAAAGATTTGATTTTTCATAAGCAAAGAAGAATACCTAGTAATGTCCTTCTTGACAGTCCAAAAGATCCCATTTTTAGTTGGTTCAGCAGTGCAACTTCTAAAAATCTCAACCCCACTAATCCAAACACCAAAAATTCTATCAAATTGCCTACCTTTACAAGTTGCTCTCCATTCCAGCACAATTTTGGAAAATTTCTGAGATGGGCAATTTAAAGGGGGTGTGTAATTAGCAAGAATTGGGGGTTTTCTGTAAGTGGAACCAAAATCATGTTCAAGAATTAGGCATGAACAAGGTTTGGTTTTGGGTAATTTTATAGGTTTTGTGACTTCAAAAAAAGTTATGGGGGTGGCACTTTTGGGTAAAGATTCTTGCTGAGTGATGAGATGGGATCTATAAAGAGAAGACGTACTGTGGGGGGTTGCTGTGGAAAATAAGGGTAGAAAGAAATAAACTAAGAAAATGGAAGAGGAGGTAGCCATTGATGATGAGCTTTGAATATCATCAGCTGACTAATATACTGTAGATTTTGGAGAGAAGGCCAAAATAGTTGCTCATGTTTGGGTTCAGATCCTTAGTTTTCAGCTGGGACACTAATAGTCCCTCATGTTTGCAATATTGGTGCGCTTTTGATCCTCCCTTAAACTTTTGCCTATTTTTTAACATTAATTATGTTCATAATTTTATGTAAGGAATGTCTCATCGTCTTGTAGGTATTTTTCTTCTCACAATCGACTTTATGTTCAATACAATTTCTACTAAACAAAACAAAGTATTTTTCTTCTCACAATCTCTCACACAGAGTTATTATTTCTACTAAATATATCAAATGACGATTAAACATTTCATACATAAATTATGAATAAAATCAATATTAAAAAATAGGC